GATAACAAGTATGGATTTTTAACCATCTGTTGTGGTGTACTGTAATCTAGAGGGAACGAGAGTTAACCACATAAAAAAGACCGTTGTCCCATCAATTTTAACAGAAATCGTACACGAGAGCTGACTCAATATGTTTATTTCAGACATACCCAAGGGCCTTCACAGAAGAGACGTATTATTGTACCGAGGTCAATACTCTAAGTAAAGGGCGAGTTTGCAGCCACTAATCCTACAGTGGTGACACAGTAGTGTATTAGGGGATTACAAAGAATCAGAGGGCAAAGCAGGTTCAAAACTTATAATAATCTCCAAACAGAACAACAGTCATGGTATCCAACGACAAGTATTGTTCACGTGTTCCATGAACACAATTTTCAGTATTCCGACTTTTAATCGCTGTATTTCCTTTCATAATACTGAAATGAAGTACTTGTTTATATGTTAATGTTTTGTAGTGTTAAAGCTTTCACTTCAGTCCGTCCAACGCGCACTCGCTAATTTGAAAAAAGTCAAATGCTGATCAATATGTGAATTTCGCTTGTGTAAACGCGCGAGAAACTAAACAAACTGCCGGGGCAAAATAAAGTGTACACCCATGTACATCTAATAAATGGTGAATCGATAGTTATTGTTTTTGAAACGGGTATCTAAGCTGTGTTTTGGACGTTAAGGTTGCTGTGTCGCCAACTTCTTCAGCCAAGTAATGTTTTGATAACGTTTGTAATGTTTTGGTCAAATCCAATAGTCAACTGTATACTTTCTTTTGCCCGCCAGTTCATATATTGTTACCAGCCGTTACTAAATACAGGGCTGTTTTGTCAATAGATAAATACAATATACATCCGGTGAACATCGGATGCATCAACATTGCAAAATACCCATCAATAGAAATGATACGAATCCTTTTGTACATGCAATCAAAATATGTTTTAAGGCAACAAACACACGCGTTAATAATACTCTATCATACACGTGTTTCCTGTATGCACATATATTTTAATACTAGTCAATATTTTCCATTGTGTCACCAAATAAGGTAATGTGATATAGACATGTGTTCGGGCTGTGATATTCATCAGAGTAACAGCTGGTCCTAGTTGAACACGTGGACGCTCTACCCTTTAATTGAATCTACAATAAGGCTGACATTTATTGAATTGACTTGTGTTATATGGACAGTATTATACAATAACTGTAATGTCTGAAAATTTGTATACTCGAAAATTAAAAAAAAAGTATGTAACTACATTGGAGAATTTTACATTGTGTTTGCAATAAACAGTGGGCAAAGGAAAGTGTACACCCATGTTTATTCGATGGTGATGTATTTGTTTGGTATAGGTGATATTACATGCATCATATCAATGAGAATACCACACCACGTGATGACACATGGTGTCTCAAGGAACATGGGGATCGCAGTTTTAGAGTGCACAGTAATGAGGAGACCCGTGAAGATCCGGGGTAGAATAGGTCTTCAGCAACCCATGCTTGTCGTGAGAGGCGACTAACGGGATTGGGTGGTCAGGCTCGCTGACTTGGTTGATGCATGTCATCGATCCCTATTCACTGGATTCCCTAATCACTGGATTGTCTGGTCCATTATTTACAGACCGTCGTCATATAGCTGGAATATTGCTGAGTGCGGCGTTAAACAACAAACAAACAAACAAAAGCAATGAGCAGAGTAAAGTGTGAATTTCCAAGTGTATACTTTCTTTTGCCCGACAGTGTAGTACATATGTATATCCACTGAGGATATCAGCAGATTATTTCTTATTTAGTCAATTATATGTCACCATAATGAGTAGAGTTCCGATTTCCAAAGTAGCCCCTAGTCCCGTGTCACAGTGAAACCAATGGGGATGTTTATGTTTTTGTATCTCAGGAAGGCCTCTGATAAGCATAAGGTTTCCAATAAAGGCTTTCAGTTTAGCGCATTATACCCTTATAAGCTTGTGGACTGGGTTAGCCTTATGGTTAAAGGGTTGGGTCGTTCACGCTGAATACTGGGGTTCAACGTCCTCCGCGGAGATTGTTTGTAATAACTGATTCACTCATTCTTCCTATTTCAACATCGAATTGGCGGATTAAAGATAACGTAAACAAATCGGTCCTAACATTAATACAGTTAAACATATTATATTTTGTTCACATATTAATTCTTGCACGTGGAATTTCAGGTCGGTGCAGAATGAACATTTTGGGTAAGACTGACATGTTGTTTGATGTGGAATATTTGTGCAATCGCAGAGGACATATTTGAGTGATTGAGTTTGGTTTAACGCTTTGAACACTACTGCTGAACTAACACTCGGTTATTATATATCACGTTGTATCAGCTTCGTGTGAGAGGAAAGCCCGAACTGATAAAATAATAAACATGGTGCAAAAGGGTTCGAACCTACAATAGGTTCTTGTTACGCCTAAGGGACGCAACTCTGCACACCCATTTCATAATGCTTATGAGACTGTGCTCCCAGATGCTGCAAGGTATGATTCAGGAACAAGATGAGACATATGATACGTCCATGTCATCCATATCATCACAGAACATATATCATAGCAATGTAAAGACCGACACAAGTAATCAAGCAGAAACTTCTCTCTAAAGCGTAACAATTGGATGAAATTACAGCAGTTAAAAGTTCCCTATGTCATACAACAGAATCCTCTGAAACCTTTTAATGCAAGGCAATTCTACGTCATGGCATATGCAATATTTCAAAGTTTAAGGTGAAAGGAAGGTAATTATTAAAACCAAGTGGGATATGTTAGAAGTTTTATCCTTGAACATTGGCAATTACCTTGAATGTCATGGCTTCTGTCAGTGACGTTGTATAACACATGATGTATTTTATCTGATGAGTAATTAAAGAGCAGACAGTGTGTTGCCTACATAGCGCTCCCGGTGAAACTATTTATAGCTGCAGTTAAAGAAAAACACCATCTGTGGCAGCAAGCCTACAGGGAGCAAGAAGAAAGAGAAATGGATAGGCAACAGTCAACAGCTCTACCTGTGCTCTTTAATATACTGCAACAGTGCATGTGTTTAAAACAGCTGTCACAGCTCTTGTTGTAAACCCAAGATGGCCAAAACAAATATAAATATAACTCTTATAGTTCTGAAATGGTCTTGTATTGACAATTGCTTTAGAATGTTTACTTTGTGTTAAGAGGGTTGACGCCATTTATTAAGGAACAAACGAAGCCAGGCACCAAGAGGAAATATTACCCTGGAATGTGATGTGCAGGTTTATAGTAATGGATTGAGTAACCGCTTCCCCACCAGGAGAGGAAGCTATTTTCATAAAGATAACACATCTGTAGGAAGCAAAAAGACTTCATGTAAATATTACAGAAAAACACTGTCATATTTGCATAAATCAGTTTGGGATAAAATGCAGAGATATCTGGTGAGCTAATGAAAAGAACTCTTTACTGCTATCGTGTAGGTGTATATCCTATAGCATCAGCAGAGAGAGAGAGAGAGAGAGAGAGAGAGAGAGAGAGAGAGAGAGAGAGAGAGAGAGATATTAGCTGGTAAAAACAGTTTAAAAGGTTAACAGTTACACATCTATTATTTTGTGTCTCAAACATGAACGATGCACGTGCGTCCTGTTGGATACCCTGTACGCTGTAAATAATCATTCCTGTTATTTCATAATTTGTTTCAAGCACCCAATTGCAAATCCATCTCCCGCTGCTCATTAACGTGAATTACTATTCACGTCAACATGGAACATGCAATCTCTCTTCTTCTTGTAAAAGTCTCGTAGAATCTCGTTTCAATTCCCTGTTTAACTCAATAAACGTTGGGAGGTTAATAGCAAGGTTGAGAGTTATCTCCATCGTGTTTTCAAAATACCCTCAAACGCATGCGCACCTGGCCCCATAAACTTTAAGTTTATTTGTTCAATGGAGATCGTTCATTGTTTATAACTGGTATCCCCTTAAATCTCGTCAAGTGAAGAGTTTAAAATACGAATAAAATGTCCAAGGGTGCAAGAATTATGGACGCACGATACAGGCTAAGATTTAAAACAATTTCAGCATCATTCACCTCAAATGTGTTTGGTGCTTTCTGTAACCATTTATTTTTATGAGAGTATTGATGTGATGCGGAAGCAGGATAACGCCTACATAACATTAGCCTCATTAGAAGATTGCACTGATAAATCTAATTAGATTAGGAACTTGCGGTGCCTGGATATATAGTTGGTAACGTTGGTAACTGTTGCAACTTCATATCATTCCTTTTTTCATGTTATCAACTGAAGATAATTAGGTAGCATGATTGGCTCATCTTCAAACTGATTTAACAAACACTGCCCAAGCTTTTTAACAACATTAACAGTATTTTGAAATGTGCTCACGTGGTTTTACATACATATTAAAATTATTGATATTCATACATATTTCAGTATTCTGAAGTGGTGAATAATAGAGACAGTTGACTGACGCGTGACTATAGCTGATGTAAGTCCTGGCGACATGTCGATGGCAGATAACATGGGATGGGGGATCACTGATACTAGGTACTTAAGGAAATAACAGTCAATCACAGCTACTTGGATCACACGGGCTTCAGACATTGCTGGCGTCTCAATGGTAACGAAATATGATGTCACAATACATTTGCGATATTATGTCACGAAAGCATCTTGCCTGATAATGAAGCATCAGATAGGAATGGGTATATACTTATTTATACACCATCTGATACACAATTCAAAGCTTTTGAAAATATTGTGACATTTAAAACAATTTCAAATTTAATACTAGCAATAATCATGTAACCAATTATACTATCCTGGTATATCTGTTATGTAATCTCTAGAAAATAATCACACGACAGTTAAAAACAACACCATTTATATGCATTATGTTGTCATTATCATTATCACAATCTTGAATGGAAAAACAAATTCATGATAATATTAAACAATAACATGATTAGACACAATACACATATGTTTAGATAATCAAATTTCACTCACCACATCCAGCAACTGTGAGAGTCGCATTCCCAACTTCACTGTCAGCTTTCCATCGGCGTCACCAGAAGGTTTGATGAGCGGATTGTAATTTCTGTATGTCATCAAATCAAAATATAATTTTTTGGCATGAGGTTCTATTCGCTGCTCGCAGACGACACACGCCACCGTCGACAGCGCAAACAGCGCTAAATTCAGGGGTTTCATGGTGAAGGTGTCCACTTCTCAACAACATTCGATTCCTGATCAGACGCGAGTCAGGCAAGCGGAAGTATTGTGCTCGCCCCAGATGCTACCACAGCCGATAGAGCACGACCGACACTTGCCGATCACAACAATCCTGTTTGGTGAAAATAACTATAAGCTAAACGCATTTTAATCACTTCTGACTGAGTTTGCAAAGCCACAATTACGAGCCGGGAACAGGCAGTATCCAAAAGTATAATTTCGATTTTTCCGGAAAGCACCTCCTGGTCGAATTAACGAAATGAGTTTTCTCCAATAGGAATGCATACAGGGGTGGAGGCACTTTGTCGAATTGAAGCGTGGTATCAGCTCTGAGCTGCAGAAAGAGGTTATCACACAAACAAACTTAATACTCCAATTATCTGAGGGCGCACAGCTTGGTCCTAGCACCGCTGTTTCTCCAGCAACAGATCGACACGCGCCTTGTCACGGCAGATTATTTAGAGACTTGAGGATTAGCACGGATATAGACCAAGCTCCCGTACCACCCGCCACAGAGAAAAGTCGGCACACGCGTCTTGGCACACACAGAAAGTTGATGAATGAGTTGTAGGTGTTTCTACATAGGTAGAGAAAATTGCTCTCCTCGAGAAAAATGGTTCCCCTTGTGGATAATAAGTGCGCGTTAGGTAGGTGTGTGAGAAGAAGAGGAGAGTAGGGGGGGCGTCACACTTCAGCTACCAGCGTTGTGACTGACATCGCCGTTTCCTCTTACACACAACACAGATTAGATTCAAGAAGAGCCGAAATAATACTTCACGTTTCGGCCTCCGCGCGATCGATTTGCGAGAAAGTGCAGCTTTTGGAGACGACTTGAATGTTGAGGGAGGTATAGACCGCTGATACACACAAGCCAGTCGTCCACAGCCTCTGCATGCGCGACAGCTGAAAAGTCTATATTTAGACTCACGTGCTGCGCCAGTTTGTTTTTCCTACTCATAGAAGAATACTTTTCATCTTAGATAAGCATCAGAAATTTGGGATGTTTTGCTTAACGAATGACGACTTATATAAATGCCTCAAGCACTGGTTCCGCCAGGTTCGTCATTCATAATCCGCTGTTTAAGACGGGAACAGTTGCCTATGAGTGAAGATTACGATAACTTGAATATTAACATCAAGTACTCCCACACTGGAATTGAAATTATCCTGTCTTTTCCTCGTGGTTATTGAAATGTCTGTAAAATGATCAGACTACATAGTTTAGTACATGTTAAAATTAGACCAACATATAGGTTTTAACCCTCAACAAAGAAACTGAAGAATAGTTCTGCATTTTCACAGATGTGTTATGTTTTAATGATATTATACAAATTCATTCAGCTTTTGCATAGGGATGGTATCGACCGAAAGGATTTTCAGTGTAAAACATGAAATAAAGTAAGGACAGAAAACGTACAATCTGTGTGAAAAAAAAACATTGCTGATTTCCGTTACCAAAGCAACTAGACACTTTTAATCCTTCAATTATAATTGGATCATGGCGGAAATCAATAAATCACGTGAAATAAAGATCTTGAGGACAACACATGTTCGCAAAGCCTTTGTGTATAAATAACAACTGTAATCGTCTAACAGCTGTATGGGACGTCAAAGGGTAGCAAATACACATAACCATTGAACTCGAACATCGAACAGAGTACTTATATATTGTATATCTACAGTACAACCCATCTTATATATCAAAGGAACATGAATATTTTCTTCTTCAGGACTATTTTACCGTTATAATGCAGCAACGTAAACAAAGCTGACATTGATGGTATCAAAAATAATAACATCATATAGACAGAGTCTTTGTGAGCATTTAGAAGTTGGATTTAATTTTCACAAGGGATATTATTGATAACAACTACATTATAGATACACAACGTGTCAGGGCGAACTCTTGCATCTTCATCAGGTAAACAAATGTCACAAAACACTTTCCATATTTACAAGAATATTGTGGATAACAATTCTTTACGATGCATACTTCTTTACAATCAATCATTTATTTCTGTAGTAATTTAGTCCCAAGACTCATATCAAGTTCACTACAATGAAGATATTTTGAACACGAGGGCAACAGCAATTCTTCCCAGTTGATTGATGACCTCTTTAATGTAGGTACTAAATGTTATAGAACGCTTACATCGCAGGACTGCAGCATTGTTATCACACACAACTTCTGTACAATACATTAACAATGTATTAGGGCTACTTCTTTCCCCCACACATGGTGCATTGACAGGCATATTCAATCTTAACCCAACTTATTAGTACAACGTCAGCTACCGGTAGAGCAGGACATGCTTACCTTTTTCGTGAACACCTGGTGTCATCACTGATTTTCAGTGATTCATTAATATGATTTGAATCATTATTTTGAATAACTTCTTAATTATACACAGACAACGATGCCGAGCTCAATCTTGCCCCTTGCATTCAAATCAATGAGGAAGAGGCAATAAGTAGCCATGAAACGTTGTCTATGTGTAATAAGGAAGTTGTTATCCATAATATCCCTTGTCATAAACAGATATATAGTTACATGGCATCCATGCTGTTGGTATGTAGAATACCAAAACAGTTGACCTTTTAATTAAAATTTATAAACAAAATATGAATATTTATGCACAAACTAAATATTCAAAGAAGAACCAACACACAACCACACATTCACATCACAACTGAACTCAAATAAACGAAATCCTACACCCCCCCCCCCCCCCCCCCCAAACACACACACTTCAGGTATTGTGTAACTAATCTTCATTGCTCTTGTATAATGGTATTGTGCTTATCAACCTTTGACCTACAAACGTGTAGCTCTTTTACTCAAACAAATCGCTCGATAATCACTTGAATACATTCGCTGATTATATTCAGGAATCCAGATATACTGGTATAAGTAAATCTATAACACTGACATTCATTAACATCCATTGTAAATAGCCTGATATATTTAACTGCCTAATGAAGCAGTATAACAATGAATGCATTGTACAACACAGTAGTCGTGTCAACACAGTTTGGTTGTGTCAGCCTTGTCATGTGGGATCAAATCAATATCGCCAGCTGACTGACACAGATGTTAGTTTAATTACACATACGCTGTATTTGTGATTTCTAAAATCCAATGAAACTTGAACCACACTCGGATTCTGAACCGTATCGTTTACGCGTTATATGTCATATATGAATTCAGATCAAGGCGTTGTTCTATCACTGTTGAGTGTATTACGTAACGTGTCAATGTCAGCTAATGATATTGCGTGGAAGTGGTTGTGTTTAAATGTGTCAGTATTGTACTAAGCACTCTATAAGTATAACGCTAATAAATATCTGGATCGTCACAACAATGGTGCTAATCTACATACTTATCAGCTTGATTCAATAGGATCGGGTGCGTTCCACAAGTACAATACGCGTCTTGTAATCCCTGTTATTCCATTAAGTAAAATAATTTCTTCGTTGTTAAAGTATGTTTTATCAATATTTTTGTTTCGAAAAATATTTATGATACCTTCCATATACACATACATACATACATACATACATACATACATACATACATACATACATACATACATACATCAAGTAGGATTTCTGTTATCTGACAGATGAATATACTTTCATGAAATATAAATATAACGTTGATAAGAAATACAAAAAAAAAAGAGTTTTATTGTTATAATAAATAACGAAGGAGATACAGATATGAAACGTTTATGGACAACAACTTATAGTTTGTAACGATGGTTCAGGGCTAGTTCTTGCCCCTTCGTCTGAAGTTGATAGGCATAAACATTTCATGTCTTGTTCTTCCAATTTCGAAATGCCAACAGACCCAACGGATAATAATGCAATGTAAATGACTCGAATATATGAGATCAGGACTACACCATATTCGTATAAAAAAAAAGTATAAATACATCTAATTGTTGTACTGGTAACGAAAACAATAAACCAGGAGGAACATTCTCGGAAGAAATCTGGGGAACCGGTCGTAAATAGTCAAAATCCACACCGTGTTCCGGCTCCACAGAAATTGATCGTAAAACTGACGTGGTCCATACGAAAAGTCCATGATTTCCTGGTCCGGGGTTCGCATTTCATCCGGCAGAATAAGGAATATTCTTAAGGCCTTTCCTCAGTACAAAATGTCTTCATGAAGGGCGGTAATTAGTTTTATGGTGGTTCCAGTCAACTGGTTTAACCCGGCAGACAAGACTCCAAAATAGGGGGTCATGTTGTATTGAAACCGGTTCAGTTAACACACTGTGTATGTAACGTTAGACATGGTAGTGGTAGCTTTTGATGTGTCTTCAAGGAATAAGGGGATGTTTACTGCAGATACAGAGTAAGCTGATATCCCAGCATTAAAGTGTGGCTTGATTTAATTGTTCTGTGTTAAGAAGTAGTGCTTGTCCTCGTCATAGTACATGCAAAACACGTAACGATAGAAAGTGGCACTGAATCAATGAATGCGTTATTTACAAATATTTGACATCCATGTAGTGGTGAGTGGGTAAAGGTTTGCTCGTCACGCCGAATGCCGGGTTCGATTCTCCACATGTACAGATGTGTAGTATATGAAGCATGTGTCAATCACAATTATGGCTGGACTTCAAGTTGCATCGTGTAACGTTCTTAAATGATTTCTGATGCAATTCCTTATTTTGACTTGTACCATATGTTCCCGTGTCTTTTCAGGTGAACAATTGACCTGCCTTTGCTTGTGTTTGTGACGGGTGCCACCGGTGGGACAGAAACGATCACCTTTTCGCGAACACCCGGTATCATCACTATTCGATAGTGATTCATAAACACATGCTCATCATATAGTCGGAATCGACTCTGCTTTTAGCAAAGGTTGCTATTGAATATGGAAAGGGTTTTGTCGTTTTCCTTTACACCCACCTCCTGGAGTATATAGGCATCATTCACATAACTAACAGAAGGTTTTCATCCGCCTCAGTACCATATCCCACCACACGCGATAGTCGAACCGTGCGTTCCTTTAAAGCGACCTTCTTACCCTTGAAGATCCGGGTAGAGAATAGGTCTTTAGCATGATTGTCGTAAGAGGCGACTAACAGGATCATGTGGTCAGGCTCGCTGACTTTGTATGCATGTTATCGTATCCCAATTCCCTAGATCGATGCTCATGATGTCAATCACTGGAGTGCGGCGTTAAACAAGAAACAAACAAATAATGCGTTGCTTTTATACGTAGATCTACTAAACATTTATGCTGAAGCACACCCGCCGGTGTTCACGAGAACCTGAAGCTTCAGATATACTGTACTTACAAAACATCTTTACATTTGTTCGTTTGCGTGGACTACCTTGGTTATATTATTATCCATACTAAGTTGACAGAAAAATGAATGCCTGGTCCTTTCACCGCTATTTTGCGTTTTACGCCCAATGGAATCTGTTTAGGCGGATAATCAAGACCGCCATTCTCTGGCGTTGACGTTTTATATTAACGTGATATATCAATATCAGTATAATAAATTGATTCAAAATGTCAACGCCAGAGAAAAATCAGTCTCGATTATCTGGGGAAACAGATTCCACTGAGCGTAAAAGGCAAACTAATCATTATAGCTCTATGAATGGATCACAGAAAAGGAATGTCAGTATTCAAAAGATCTGATTTTATCATACATTGTTTCATATTTACATTTATGCATAAAGATTCGGAGTGACAAAGACTGTATGACAGCTGGGATGACTTCAGCTGTCTAATAGTCAACTCTCTTTTTATTATGCCGAGGGATATTCCAGCAGCTTCAGTGTACAATCAAGTACAATGTAGCATGCGCTTTCTACGATTTCTACGATTTAAAAGTTCGTCGTGTACCCATTGCTCAGGGTATCGTACAAGGGA